CTATGTTAAGTATTAGCATAGTATTAGTAGAGTTTACGGGAGAAAAAAAATACTCTGGCAGGGACTTTTCACCTAATTTCCTTGAGAAATGCAGTTCATGAGTTCATTCTTTCTTTATTAGTCCATCTGGCATTTCTGCTCCCATTCATGTTGAACACATTTTCCAGTTTCAACAAAGAATCCACAAAAGAGGACAACACCTTGTGAACACCTGAACAAAGTTAAAGTTTTAACGTCTACAGCTCCATCTGTGGCTGCATTCCCGTGGAACAGACTTGTCCCGCCATGGACTGCAAAGACCAAGGCAGAGACAGATCTAAGCACTGCTGCTGGGATGAAATTCAGCTATGGGGGGCAGAGGACTTCTTTTCACAGCTCTTTCAGCTGCCATCCTGGCAATCTGCATTATCCTGGTTTGAGTTTAAGAGCAGGACCCAATCACAGAATCACAGAACAAGTTGGGTTGGAAGGGACTGTCCTGCCTTGTAAGATAAGTGCGTATGCTATTGCCATCTGTTGGAAGTGGGGCAGTTTTCTTATCCCTTCCAAGAACAATGTCTCCCTCTGGGGAGATATCTTCTGTTAATGGGCCATTAATGACTCACTGCATGATGGTAAAGTTACATCATCCCACTGGGAGATGCTCCACCCAGACGGAGGAGCCAAGCAGCCCTACCTGCATAAAATCAGCACTTTTTGGGACATCAGGGCAGCCTCTTTGCTGGATTCCCAGAGAAGCAGCTTCTTCCCCGTTGGATCCCAGAGGAAGACCAGGCCCATCTATTCTATCACCAGACCATCAGAGAAAACTCCACCCTTCTAGAGATCATCACTTCAGCAGCATTTCATCTGCCACTCCAGGAGGAGCAGCCACCATTTAACTGGACTATTACCAACACCCTGACTCCTCAGGGTGTCAGGTTTCTGACTCTATCACTAGTTCTGTTTGTACTGATTACTTTTTTTTTTAAATTTAGTTTTTTCCTAGTAAAGAACTGTTATTCCCATTCCCATATCTTTGCCTGAGAGCCTTTTAGTTTTGAAATTGTGGTAATTCAGAGGGAGGGGTTTACCTTTTCCATTTCATTCACAGGAGGCTCTTGCCTTCCTTCACAAACTCCTGTCTTTTCAAACCAAGACAGGGACCTTGAAGATCACTTCATTCCACCCCCTGCCATGTGCAGGAACAATTTCCACCACCCCAGGCTGCTCCAAGCCCTGTCCAATCTGGCCTTGGACACTTCCAGGGATCCAGGGGCAGCCACAGCTTCTCTGGGCACCCTGTGCCAGGGCCTCACCACCCTCACTCTCAAGAATTTCTTCCTAATATTTCATCTATCCAATGACAATGCATGTGTATCCTATGCAAAGCAACCTGGTGGCTTCGAGATTTTTACAATTTAGGTGGAATCAGGCATTTCTACTTAATTTTTAGACTTCAGGAAAAGATCAAGCTACGCTACACAAAGCAACATACTTAACTCATAAACTGCACTTTTACTCAGTTAATTAAAGCTTAATTAATGAAGTAATCAAATAAAAGTCATAAAGACTAAATCCATAAATCAATGTTTTTAATCTTTTAATTCATCAGAATCATAAAGAAATGACTATATTAAATTTTCATTTAACACTAGAAGAATTCTTAAATTTTTAGCCTTTTCTTGTCATTACATGGAGTGCCTGGCTTCTTTTTATCTGAGACTCAGAGTTCACCCTGTCCAAGTTGGTGTCTTCACAATTAAGGGCCAGTTGCAAAAAAAAAAAAAAAAAAAAAAAAAAAAAAAAAAAAAGAAAAAGAAATCTAACGCAGTTTGGAAAAAAAAAGAAAAATCAAGAAAATATTGGTCTGCAGCCATGCTAGGTTACTAGATGCCTTGAAATCTTCCTTGTCTTGAGGTAGAAAGTAGATTTGGCATGATCTTACTGGAAGGTTTGGCTTTCTGGGTACCATGTTGCCTGTTTTTTAATGTATCAATGCCATATATCCATTGCAAGCTACATTCATGAAAATATTGCATGTGCTGACTAGGAATGCCCTGGCATCTGTACAGGGTCAGGCCTAACAGCCTAAAATTTCCTGTCCTTTAACATTTACATCATCTAAAAATAAGTAGATAACTGGCTTTTATTTTTAAAGGAAGTTAAGAGTGGTGTCACCTCACTTTTCCACAAACTTTTTTCTTGTTAAAAAACTTCAGACCAAAAAAATATGTGTAAGGTTTTGACACATTCGGTTTAAACCCCACACCTATCATATGAATTCAGTCCTGGTCAAACTAATTATTTGATTTCAGTGAAGAAAACCTTATCTCTGTTAAAGGTAGGACAGGGTAGCAAACGGATTGACAAATTCACAGGATGAAAAAACAGGTGAAGGAAGAAACATCTTGTTAAAATCTTTTTGGTGACCCGGGCACCTTTCATAATGTAGCAACCTTAAATTTCCCTTGAATTGTGAAAAGTAGGGGAAAGATGAGGGGGTGGGATCAGCATGCTTCTGTTGTTCAAGTTCATCCATTTTTCTTTACTTTGTGTGTTCTTGTTGACTTTGATTTACTTAATTTTTTTTTCATGTCGTATCTCTTGTTTTCAACTAATTATTTTTATATTAAAACCAACCCTAACACCCAACAAAAGAATGTTGAATTAGCTAATGAAGTGTTTTTCTCTATTTAAACACAGTTACTTTGCACATTTGACTTTTTTTAGCAAGTCTTTGTTATTAGCTAAAGAATCCATTCATTTGCTTATAAAATTTTCATAGGCCAAACAAATCTTATTTACAGGATATACTCATTAATTTCTTTTTTTTTTTTTTTAATACATAGGATAAATGTCTGCAGCATTTAAGGAAACATCACAATTTCTGCAGTTTGGTGTTAGTATATTGCTGGCCAAATTGCATGAAGCAATTACTCAATGTTTTAATTTTTCTTAAACCCTGGAAATGTGCTTCATGGATTGAAAACTCATTTGAATACAGGAAAGAATCCTTGCATAAAAATGAGTTGGTCAATCCCTTCTACAGCACCAGCTCACATATATGTGTGGATAATAGAAAACTCCTGCTTAAATTCTTAGTGCCAGCAGAAACAAAAAGCACCCAGGCTAAGCCATTATTAAGATATAAATAGGCTTGTAAACAATTTCATTGCATAAAAGAGTTGGTTTCTTTGGGACTACAGCAATTTGCATAATGAACTGCAGCAGTAGCCCTTCAATATTCTCTGTTGACACCAAGGGAGGTTGTTGCAAAGCTAGGCAATATTTGCTTGCAATCCTTCTATTCAGGGGAAAAGAAAAGGGGAAATGTGTGTCTGGGGGCAGGGGTTGTGGAATTTTTCTGGTTTTAGGTTAGTAACTGGTAAACAATAAATGCTCCCCTCAAATAATATCTTGTTAAGAATGATTATCTCTTTTACCCAAACTGAGACGTCATAAAGAACCTCTCAGTCTACCAGGTCTATTCTTTTCCTAGCTGTGCCTGAAACAATGGCTTAGACCTGAAGGTTTCCCTTTTTATGGGCATAATCTGCTAAAGAGCCTTTTCATTTACAGTTATAACTGTGGGCTTGTCCTGTTCAAGGAAATAGATATTATTCCATGATTTAGTCATCTAAACATAAGTGTTTAGCTCCATTTTGGATAATCCAAAAGTAATCAAGACATGGGAATGAGACTCGAAGATAAGAAGTCACAGATCTGGAAGGAGGTCTCTGGCCTGATGCCCTGGCTCAGAATAAGGTCATGAATCCAGATCAGGTTGTTTAAAAAAAGCTTTAAAGCTTTATCCATTCTGATCTTGAAAATCTCAAAATGTTTTAATCCTATAGCCTTCCTGGGCAACCTCTTACACTGCTTCATTGTTTTGAAGGAGAAGCTGAAAGTCAGAAAATTATATCCTAGAGATATTATAAACCATGAGAGGCACTAAAATATCAGAAATTGTTAATAAAGAAGTAACCATGGTGTTGCTGTGAAGATTTCACCTAATGACACAGAGGGACTAAAGTTGCAAGGCTTTTCAACTCATCTTTCATCTGCAGACTTACCTGCAAAACCTACATATCCCAGATGCTAAATATTTACAAAATTTCAGTCTAGCTTTATGAAATGTTGGCAGTAAATAGGAAAATAAATCCCCCTAAAATAATAAAAAAAAAAAATCAGTCTTGATAATAGATTAGTTAAACCACTTATATATTGATATAATACACAATTTGTTATGTTACCTGGTAAATTTTGTTCTCAAGGCTCAAAAATAGTCTTGGAGTGTTCCATAATTTGGGAGAGTTTTTGTATATTTTTATGTTTTGCTGGTTTGGTTTAATTTGATTTCCTTGGGGTTTTTTGAATCTCAGAATTAGTAATGGTTAAAAAAACAAAAAAAAAACAAAAAAACACAAAAAAACACAGAACAACTTTATCAGGTCAGGATGTTTTACAAATAAAAATGTTCCCATAATTTTAAACTTTTTAGCTATATTTCAGTGCACATCACTGTGCCAAAGACCCCACCTGGACTAACCAGGATTCTCTGGTGTGGGATTTAGCATCAGCAATATAATTGTAGTAAATGAAAATATTTATTGAATATTTTTTGTTTAGACATCAGTGTGAACCTCAGATTCCTATCTAAGTATGTCTCCTGGATGGATGGCAGAAAGGGGATTTAGGGCAGAATTAAGGATAAGTCCTCTTCAAATATTTTTTTACATGCAGCCTTGAGAAATTCAACCATGGAAAAACACGCACAAGATTTATGAGAGACACCATTGCCTGCAACCCTCATTGCCTTGGTGCTTTTTGCCTACCTCTTATCCACCAGTTTTCCTTTTGTCCAGAAATATTAATTCTGCTTTCATTTTCTCTTTATAAATTCAAATAGTGAAAAATGACTGATATAGGGTTGGGGTTTTTTTTCAATCTTTTAATGGCTCTTAATGCTTAATCTGGAGAATGTTTAGCAAGTGTGGTGAATGCTGAACTGATGTTACCTGGATGCCAAGGGCCAGAATCCTTCCTAGGATGTGTAAAATATTCACAGCAGATGCACAGGCCAACAGTTTGCTGATGAAGCAAATAGAACAATTTTAGGAGCTTTGGGGCCATAAGGAACTGGAAAGGACTTCAGGGTGATGACTGCATTAGCACTGCAGATTTCAATTTCACTGTTGTCCTGATGCATTTTATTCAATTTCTCAGAATGAATAATGTCATTAACACTGAATTTCTTCCAAAGGAACAGCACAAACATATCAACTAAATTCATTTTGAATCCATTTCCCTTCCTACTGTCAGCCAGTGCTCTTGGTCAGACACTTTGGAAGATAATTTCCTGGACAGAAAAAGAATGAGAAATGCTATTCTGTCTAAAATTATGTTGCATATAATATTTCTGAAAGGATTATAAAATTCATGCTCACAATAGTGGCTGATTGCTCTCTGTATTTTCATTACTTTTCCCTATTTTGATCTATTCATGGTGGCATTGGAGGGAGATTTAAGAATTTTATTTCTGTGTGGCTGTGGGAAGTTAGATAACTACTTTTTCAGCTTGCAGAAAACTATTATCTACTCCCGTCGTCTTCTTAAAAATATCCATTTATACACAACTTTGCTCATGGAAAAGATAGGAGCAGTGTTCATGAGATTAAAGGTTCACACTGCAGTCATGTCTCTCTCTGGCTGCAGCTGAGTTATGTGAGGAAGCTGCTGCTTTATTCTGTCCCCAGCTGCTCCTCACTGTGTCAGGAATTTCTGCACCTTCAGTTTCCAGCACACCGACTTCTGTGCTGCCTCCCTAGGCAGGTCCAAGCCCTATAATCAAAGTTATTTTTGTGTTTTCAATGCAGGTGTTTTCTAAGCCATCTCTCACTGGTCTGATAACAGAGTTACAGTGTGTGGGGGTGCTGGAACACCTGGAGGAACCTTTTGGAGGCAGAAGGGAGAGAGGCTGAGGAGTCATGTGAAACAGGGTAGAGCAAAACACAGGCAGGTAGAACTTCCAGCTAAAACAGCAACATCCCAAATCTTGGGTCCAATTATTCCAGCTTCCTCCACAAGAAAAATTTAAACCCCAGAGGGGGAAAGTCTTGGGTCCAATTACTCCAGCTTCCTCCACAAGAAGAAATTTAAACCTCAGATGGGGAAAGTCTTGCTGTGAGAGAACCTTTAAACAAACCCAAGAAAACCCTGAGTCCTGTGTATGAGCTTGAGAGGTGGAAGATCATGAACACCTGCTTCTTGCATGTTCAAAGTTTCCCTTTAAAAGTGGCAAGTTCCTTTTGCTTCAATGCCATTAAAGAATTTAAGCTGATTCGTTGTTTTTCATGCAGACTTATCCAGGATAATGACAGTGACGATGATGGAAGTCTTGCTGGGTCTTTGAGAGGCAGAGGGTGGGCTTTTGTAAAAGGACAATATCATTTTGTGACCAATTTCGTCTTCTCAGTTCTCAGTCTTGGTAGTGGAACCTGCCTTTTGTTAAGTCTGCTGCTTTACATAAGCAGTAAATTAAGTCAACTTTTTAACAGTAGTTTCTATTCATAATACAATACTACATTCTATAGAAAAATAAGAGACTGTCCTCACTAAAATATAAAAGAGATCATTTTGAATAAAAAAGCAGTTTCAGACTGGTTGAAAGCTATTAAAGCTGATTTTGTTAAATTTTAAATTGTTCCTTTTCTGTTTGCCTCCTTTCAAATAGTGTTTCTGTAATTACCATGTAGTAGCAATCATTAAAAGTGGGGGAAATAAAATGGTTTAACTACATCTCTTTTTACATAATATTAGAGATAATATTATGAATATAATATATTAATAAAAAAATGTATGTATTTTCTTCCCCAGGAGAAAAAAAAATTTGAAATACAGCTTATATAGGTATTGCAGAGATAACAACAGAATACCATTATTAAATGTGTCATTATACAAAAGCTGCATGCAGAACAAAATAAAATGAGAGCAATATGACACCTTTTAATTTTTCTGTGTGGGATTAAGAATTTATGAGCAGGTTTTAACAGATGCCCCATTGCACAGCTCGCAGCCCTGCTGAGCACCTTGATAACACATTGCCCTCTGTAGGACTGAGTGCAACCTCAATCCCAGAATAAATGGAATGGGGGATTCTGCTAATCCACAGGAACAGCTCCCAAATCCATGCCTAAATTTCTGTTGACTTTGCAGTCAGAGCTCACTGCTTCTGAAAGATTTTCTGGAAGTTTGTATTGATCTGACTTGTAAAACCTTGAGCAGTGTTACAAAAAACTGAAGATCATTTGACTATTGTGGGAAGTTATTACTTCAGTTTTGCTCCGGAGGTTTTTTTCCTTAAATTCATACCTTTATATAAGCAGCCTCATCAAAGTTAGAATTTTTCATAGGTACAAAACAGCACAAAATTGACACAAAAAAACTGACACAAAAAACCAGCACAAAAGTTTTGTTGTGAGTGATGGAGATAAAGGGGTGAGAATTCATAGCAAGAAGTAATTTTCCCATTTCTATTTACCAAAATAAGTTTAATTTTTGCCTTTGTTGAATTTTTGGGAAAGATACAAAAATTGGTTTTCCTAGCACTTTGTTTAACTGTGGGTTTCATTTCTTTAGGTGGGTTATTTGACATATTTGGAGATTTTGGTGTCTGTGGAATATTCACAACAAAGTGAGCACTGCAGAAGCTCAAAACCTCTGACAAAAGAGGCTGAAGGAACCCCAAATATTGATCAAAGTTACAAAAATTACTTTAGTTCCAGCTCCTGTGAGCTCCTGGCTTTGTCACTACAAATCTGCTCCTGATGTCAACCACCACTTTTAGTGGTTAACAGCTGTGCTGCTACTGAAAATAGTGTGTGAAGAACGTGGAATTTAAAACTCTACTGATGTAAAATAGATGTATTTATGTGACAGTGTTAAGAGTGATGGTACTAATGAAAGAATAGCAAATGTTAATATTATTTGCAGTAATAGCAAAGCATTTTTTCTGTGAAATTACAAGTCAAATGTTCTTAATTTGTAATCAAAATTATGAAAAGAGCTAAGGGGAAAACTGTTCTCACACAGTATCAAAAATGTCAGGAATATTGTAACTTAGAGAAACTAATACATTGTTAAGGGTTATTTAATTAAAATATTAAAGAAAATAGGAGGGAAAATGAAACTTTATGAGAGGTTACCACGGAAACCAGTTCAAACTGAAGTCCACAATTTTAGCCTTTAACATTTGGAGACACAAACACAGACATACAGAGACACACACCCCTAATTTGAGTGTCTGCAGTTATTTTTATAATCTGCCAAAACCTAGAGACTCCAAGGATTGATTTCATATGCAATAAAATCAATTTCTATTGCTTGAAATGTACTTTTGACATTATATTAAACCACATCAATGCAAATTCATTTGATTGGATAAATGGATCATTTAGCTGTTCTACTAAAGTTTGTAATCTTTTATTTCTTTATAATCAATGCAAACACTACAAGAAGTAATTTTATTCATGGCTGTATATTCAATACACAAATGTCCAAATAACTAATGGAAATCCTGGTGTCTCTGCAGCAAAATAACACAACAGATATTTCATCCATACAGTTCCCAAAACAGTATCTGCATTCAAGGGATTTTAGCCAGGAATTGTTTGATGGCATCCTGATGGTGAGGGATAAAACCATGTTGTAGGGTAAAACCATGACAAGAAAAAAAGAAGGAATATTTCTTAGCTCCCTGCCCTTGCACTTATTTTTGCTAATGTAGCCTTCTTTATAAGCCCAGGCAGCATTTAAGTCTCATTTAAGCACAGTAGTGTTTGCCTACCTGTTTCTGGAGATCCTTGATGTAAAAAAAAATACCTTGGGAAGAAGCCCCAGAACTTTAAAGATTTAAAACTTATACTTTTTTATATTTTAAAATGCTAAAAAACATCATGGCAAAAACCAGCCAGAAACCTCAGGGTCGTAAAGGTGAGAGGTGTGCCATTTTAAGTAAAAGAAAAATGAAATAGGGAGGCAGAGGGAGGAAGAGAAACGAGGAACCTCATGTCCTTACTTCCAGAAGGGAATGAAACAAAAACTGAAACCAAATTGTGGACAGATGGACTGAGGATACTGTGGGAACAGAGAGCCCTGGGAACATTTTCCCCAGAGTCATAAAATCACAGAATCACAGAATGGTTGGATCTGGCAGGGACCTTAAAGATCACAGAATCCAACCTGCCTGCCACAGCCAGGGACACTTTTCCTTTTCTGTACGTAGCAGAAGTAATCTCATCACTACTTTTTAGCATATTTAGAACTCAGTAAAACCTTAAAAAACTCACCACAGCCCTAGGGGTGAGGTCAGCACCAGTCCTACCACCCTGGTGTGAAAAACGCCAATCACTTGTTTTTTAAAAATTTAAAAGTTTAATAATAATAAAATAGTTATAAAAATAATAATACAATTAGAGTAATAAAGTTTAGAGTTAGGACAATTACAAGACAATAAAAAGCAAAGAATTACGGACATCTGGATGCTCTTGGACACTAAGTCATGAAAAGCATACCTTGTGAACAAAGGAATAATCTTAAAAACAATAGCCTGTTAAAATTCATATATCCTTCATGATTATGCATACATTCTGTTTAAAACAAGAACTCTGTCTGTTGTATATCAACTGTTTTCTTTAATCCCCGAAGCGTCTTCGAGTCTGAGCAAGGCCTGAAGAAATTAGCTTCTTCTGATAAGAAAACCATAAATTCCTTTTCTTTGGAAGATTTAGGTGTTCCTCGAAGCAATTATCTCATTCCAAAAAAAAAACTTCCCCCACAGACATAGTCTCTATTTGAACATTATGTTGGGACCTAAAATAATATTTAACACACTACTTAAGATAATTAATACAGCATAACTTTCTAACATTACACATATAATAGTCATTGTAATATTTGTGAAAAGCCAATCATAAAATATGCATTTTTCACAATGGGGTGCCACCAAAGGCAGCTGATAGCTTTCACCACTGCCCTTGTGGAAAGAAGCACTGAGGGTGCAGGGGCACCCCTCTAATGCTGGGCACAAGCTGGCAGTGAGGGTAGAAATACTCTTTACTAGGGCTTTCTAGCACTTTTTACTCACAGAAGTGTTTCAGAAATCTCTACTTTGATGGGAAGTCTGATTTTTTTTCCCATATTTTCTGTGCAGCATATCATCAAGTCATGTTCTGTCTATCACCTTTTCGCATCTTCTCTTCCAGTGCCCTGCTCTGTACTTGGCAAGAAGATGCACTTTTCACATCTTTTTTTTTATTGCCTTACAAAACCAGCTAAGACATTTTTACTGTCAGTTGCTTATTTGCAGTATTTCCCCCTTTGTAGTACAGACAGAACTCTTCAGGTGGGGAGACACAATGTGAAAATCTAAGTAACAAAAAGACAAGATAGACCTTCAGAGGCACTGCTTGATATTTATGGCATAAAGAAGGATATATAAAGTTTCTAGTAGGATAAATGGCTAACTTTTCATAAGTGCTGTGTGCTGCCCTGAAATTGTTTCAGTGTTTGGCTTAGATAATTAAATAGCATTGTCTCATTATTAAATTTTGAAACACAGGCCATTAAAAATTAATTTACCAGCCTTTAGCAATGAAATCCAGTTACGGTGATGCACTGAATAAAAGAGACTCTGGCAATAACTAATTAATTAACTAACAGTAAAACAACTTTCACCAGTTACTGCTCAAAACTGATTAACA